ATTTGACTCAGTTATACCACTCCTCAGCATATACCCAAAAGACTTAAATCAGCATACTATAGTGAAGCTGCATCACTATAGTATCATCAGTGTTTGTAGCAGCTTAATTCAAAATAGCTAAGCTATGGAACCATCCTAGGTGCCCTTCAACAGATAAATGGGTAAAGGAGATGTGGTATATATACACAGTGAAATATTACTCAGCCATAAAGAAGAATAAAATTGTGGCATTTGCCAGTAAATGGATGGAACTGGAGACTATCCTACTAAGTGAAATAAGCCAGTCCCAAAATACCAAAAAATGAATGTTCTAATATGTGGATGCTAACACACAATAAGGTGGAGGTGATGTGGATAATAGAAAGTCATAGGATTAGGCAAAGGGGAATGAAGGGAAGGGGAGATGGGAATAGGAAAGACAGAATGAATTGAACATAACTTTTCTATGCTCATATATGAATATAAAATCCGTGTAACTCCACATCATCAAAAGAATGGGAAGTTAGACTCCATGTATGTATGCCAAAATACACTCTGCTGTCATGTATATCTAAAAAGAAGAAATTTTTTACAAATGGCTTTCCTGACCTCTTAAATATATATAAAAAAATTAGTTGGTAATGAATCATAACCCTAAAATAAGAGTAAAGACTATAAGCATTTAGAAGAAAAAACTTTATGAACTTGGGTTTGGCAAACAATTCTCTTAGATAGGACACACTATGTAGGACCCTTTTAAAAATTTAGTAAGTTAAAGGCAGCAGAACACAACAGACACTAGTATGGCAATATGTAAATCAATGGATGTGTAACTGATGTAATTCTGCAATCTGTATATGGGGTAAAAATGGGAGCTCATAACCCACTTGAATCAAAGTGTGAAATATGATATATCAAGAACTATGTAATGTTTTGAACAGCCAACAATAAAAAATTAAAAAAAAAAAATTTAGTAAGTTAGATGTTATTACATTAGAAACATACTTTTCAAATAGTATGATTAAGAAAATGAAAAGGTAAGCCACAGACTGGTAGAAGGCATTTGCAACTGCTCTCTCAAGAGGGCTTTTTATTGAGAATATACAAAGAACTCTTATAATCTAATAATAAGAACACAAACAACTTTTTAAAAAATTTTATCAAAGAAGAGATGTAAATGGCAAATGAACACATGGAAAGATGCTCAACATCATTAATTCCAAAGGAAATGTAACCAAAACCACAATGAGATGCCATAATATACCCATTTGAATAGCTTAAAAGAATAAACAGAAAAACAATTACTGACAAGTAATTGTTTCTCAGCAAGTGCTGGTGAGAATGCAGAGTTATGGAAATTTTCTATATTGCTGATGAAAACCACCAAAAATTTAAAAACAACTCAAATATCCTTCAATGGATGAAGGAATAAATAAACTGTGCTACAGCCACACTGTGGAATATAACTCAGCCATGAAAAAATGAAGGGCCTGCTGACTCATACAATATGGGTAAATCCCAAACACATGTTACAAGGTGGAAAAAGCCACATTCAAAATGTCATATTAATTCTGACATTTATAAAAACCTTATAGGGAAGGAAAAATCTACAGAGACAAGAAATAGATCAGTGGTTTCCAGAGTCTGAGGGCAGGGGAAGAGACTGATTACAAAACAACATCAGGGAACTTTGAGGGGTAAAGAAATTGTTCTTTCTTGATGGTGGTGGTAGACACTCAGTTGCTTTTGTCAAAATCATAGAACAGAGGCTGCAGCTGTGGCTCAGTGGTAGAGCGCTTGCCTAGCATGTGTGAGGCGCTGGGTTCGATCCTCAGCACCACATATAAGTAAATAAAAAATAAAGGTACATCCACAACTATAGAACAGAAAAAGGTGAATTTTACCAACGGGAAAAATATTCCTCAATAAGAGAAATTACATTACATGTGTATTTTATGCCAAAATAAAATCAATGTCAGGTAAATAAGGATTAAAATATAAAAGTCAAAATAAAATTTTAAATACCCAGTACAGGGAAATATATCTTAAGATCTTAGAGTAAGGGGAAATTTTTAAACAAGGCACAAGATAGGAAAAGAGAGATAGATAATGGTTGGTTATTTCTGTTCATCTGTTCATCAAACAATATCACAGAGTTTAAAAAGCCATAAGTAAGAAGACATTTGCAACACACATAATTGGCAAAAGATTCATATTTGGAATATATGATTAAAACTACACAAGAATAAAATACATAATCAAATAGAGTACTGGGCAAATGTCAAAGTCAATTGATTTAAGCTATGACTGCACACATCTAAACTTTTTGTTGATGGCCTGACCTGATGAGTAAGTACTAAAAAGTCATAAAAGAATACCTAAATATAGTCTTATCTATATGAAATTCCCAGACAAAATCAACATCTCTCTGCTTGATATTAAATTATCAGTGATTAAGCAATAAAGAAAAGTGAGGGCATGTTACCCCAAGTGTCGGGACAGTGGCTAACTTTGAAGTGACAAAAGAGAAGGAGGAGGTTACAGGTACTTTTCCATTTCTTCACGTGAGTGGCAGGTTTGCATCTTTATTTTTTTATTATATAATGTGTACATATGTGTTTTGTATACACTCGTGTTTATGAATGTATTACCTCAAGTGCCCTAAGAAACAGGCACCAGGATGGGATTGAACACTCCAGAGATTATTAAGGAATTGCCTGGAAGAGACCATGACGCAGGCCTGAGCCTTGTGGAAGAGAGCGGGAAGACAGCAGGATGGGGCAGGAAGAGACTTGGACTGCAGTGCAATTCCAGTAAAGTGTCAGCCAGGTCAAGGAGGAGCCAAGGTCACCCATCAAGGGGTCCCCATCATGTAGGGACAGTGTCCTTGTCATGTCGAAGTACTAGTTGGGATCAGCCTTGGAAAGTATGACCTTAGTGTAAATCACAAAGGGCTTTCAGGAGGAAGTAGCTGGGCTGTCAATTATTGACCCCGCAGCAGAAAAACGGAAAAGTGCGTGATTGTGGCTGCTACAATGGTATATGTTAAGGTTTTAAAAAAAAAATTAAAGGAAAAGGAAAAAATGGGCAAAGGAAATCAAGAGACATTCCAGAAAAAGAAATTCAAGTGGTCCATAAATAAATAAGTAAAATGGTACTGGACATCAATCAAACTAAGACAATTTATTTTCTGATTAAACTGCAGTGAGGGGTTCTTTAAAGATCCAAGTGAGCCCGGTGTGATGGTGCACACCTGTAATCCCAGCAGCTCTGGAGACTGAGGCAGAAGGATCACAAGTTCAAAGCCAGCCTCAACAAAAGCAAGGGGCTAAGCAACTCAGTGAGACACTGTCTCTAAATAAAACACAAAATAGGGCTGTGGATGTGGCTCAGTGGTTGAATGCCCCTGAGTTCCATTCCCGGTAACGCTTCCCTGCCCCCCAAAAAAATCCAAGTGAGTCCAAATCTAGGACAAGGAAAGAACAAAACAAATCTGGGACATTTGGGGTCAGAAGAGAGGAAATGATCAGGTCAAAAGAACTTAGAGGTGATTTAAAGGGAGTGTAGTGACCGTGTTACATAAAATCCATGAGAGCATATTGAGAAAAGAAAGAATGCAAAGGAAGAAGGAAGGAAAGGAGAGAAGGAAGGAAGGAGGGAAGGAAAAAAATGAAGGAAGGAAGGAAGGGAGGGATGAGGGAGGGAGGAATGTTGTTTTTTTTTGTTAAGAAAAATGCCATCTGATCAATGAAAAAGTAATAATAGATTTAGAAAAATCAACTTTTTTACATTCCCCAAGATATTAACTGATCTGGCAAAGATTACCAAAGGATGCTAAAACATGGTGCAAAGTCTCCTTCTAAATTAGTAACCACAAAAGCACAAAGAAAGAAATGTGTCCTCTTAATGGAAATATTCAGCTGTTACCATCTTAACCAGGTGTTCAAATCTGAGAATCCATCCCAATGGGGAGACAGGTAGAGTGTCAGCCCACCTCCATTTGTAGGGACTGGCACTGGAGAAAACAAGGCAATCCAACACTGTTGTCCAGACATTTAAAACCTGTGAATTGAACTACCAACTTGCATAAAGTACATTTTATTCTCATCTTTGACAAGTATTCCTTTAAAATATATATAAAACGTGTATAAAATATATCCAAAGCTTCAGGATTTTTTAGATGGCTGCAAGCTGGAAAAATATCAAAATCAACCAAATTTTTTACTGTACCCAATCTGAGTGTTGTGTTGGTGTACAGTGACATTCATAATTTTATAAACATTTATTTGGAAAAATTAATTTTTGTTGCATGCATTTTGAAATCACTAACCAGGTTGTTATATTTAATGATGTTACATAAACTGTGTCCTTCTAAATAACAATAATATAAAAGATTGGAGATTTCTTGGAAAATTGGGAATGGACCCACCATTTGAACCAGCTGTCCCTCTCCTTGGTCTATACCCCAAGGACTTAAAAACAGCATACTACAGGGACACAGCCTCATCAATGTTTATAGCAGCACAATTCACAATAGCTAAACTGTGGAACCAACCTAGATGCCCTTCAATAGATGAATGGATAAACAAAATGTGGCATATATACACAATGGAATATTACTCAGCAATAAAAGAGAATAAAATCATGGCATTTTCAGGTAAATGGATGGAGTTAGAGAAGATAATGCTAAGTGAAGTTAGCCAATCCCAATAAAACAAATACTGAATGTTTTCTTTGATGTAAGGAGGCTGATTCATAGTGGGATAGGGAGTGGGAGCATGGGAGGAATAGATGAACTCTAGATAGGGCAGAGGGGTTGGAGGGGAAGGGAGGGGGCATGGGGTAATTAATGATGGTGGAATGTGATGATCATTACTATCCAAAGCACATGTATGATGCCATGAATTGGTGTGAATATTTGATGTATACAAATAGGAAAGTACAAGATTTAATGAAATTCAAAGTATCCAAAATTTATATATATTTTAAAAATCAATCAAATGTACATATAGAAATATTCATTTTTTATGGAGTGCTTCATGAATTTGCTTGTCATCTTTGCACAAGGGCCATGCTAATCTTCTCTGTATCATTCCAACTTTAATATATGAGCTGCCCAAGTGAGTACTATACTTATTTTTATATGATTTTCAAAAATATTCTTTTTCTTTTTCTTCCAAACATTAAAAGGAAAGCCCAATTTATTAACAAATAACAAAATTTTATAGAGTTAAATAAAAAGCATTGAAATAAAGGTGAAATTATGTTTAAGATTTTTTTAAATTTTTAATGAAAGTTCATTACATATTTTGTAGAAATATAAACTCTTTGTAATTTTATTATTCAGAATTCATCCAGTTACCTATTTAAATATCACAGGTCACAACTAAATATAAACTGTTTGATATAACAGAAGGTGTAACTTTTACAGACACCACACAAATTCATGATGACCTTCAAAACCTCAATTTCCAAGGTGAAGTAAAGCAAGAAAATGGATGTTTGGCACTACTGGGTGACTTCATTATGCAGGAATGTTTTGCATTCATGATTTGATGGGATGGCACACAAAGAAGTGTCCCTAAGTTAGTAGGACCCTAAACTTGCAAGGTCTGTCACACTCACTGTGGGTTCTAAGGAAACAGAATGGAGAAGCATTTTCTTGGGGACTGAATACTGTTGGGAATATCACAGGGAAAGAAGCCAATGCACTGAGAATGGTAACTTTCTACATGATGATTGGCTTGGTTGCTTCAAAAATTTAACATCATAAAGGAGACCTGGGAAGTGGCCTAGCAGCTCAGGAGGCTGAGGCAGGAGGATTACAAGTTTAAAGCAAGGCCTTAAGCAACTGAGTGAGACCCTGTTTCAAAATAAAATACAAAAAAAAAAAAAAAAAAAAGACTGGGGATGTGGCTCAGTGGTCAAGTGCCCTGAGTTTAATCCCTGGTTAAAAAAAAAAAAGGAGAAGAGGCTGGGGTAGTGGCTCAGTGGTAGAGCGCTCACCTAGCATGTGCAGGGCCCTGGGTTTGATCCTCAGCACCACATATAAATAAATAAATTAAATAAAGGTATTGTGTCCAGGTACAACTAAAAAATAAATTTTAAAAAATTGCTTTAAAAAAAGGAAATTAGGAACATGTCGCAATCATATAAATATGCCAGAAAAAACTTGTTCTATTCCTCACTCCAAATAGTAAAATATCTATTAAAAAAATGAGACAATTAGGGAATTTTGTCATGAGCCATCCATGGGCTGTGTGTGAGCTATGTGCATTTGAGCGTGTGGGAGGACTGGCCTGTCTTGCATGCTCCTTGGGCTGTGTGACGCACGTGTGCCCTTTCCTCTTGCTCTGCCTGTGTTCCCACATGGCACCTGAGATGGGTGTGACTTGCCAAGATGTCAGTCAAACTGCTGACCACAAGACATCATCAAGCAACCCTCTGAAACCAAATTCCTTGCCTTATTTGGGTGGAACTTTCTCAAATGTCTTGGTGGAGGTGCCTCATAAATAGAAGGTTTCAAGCATGCTCTCTCTTTTGCTCCTCTTGCTCTTCTTGCTCCTTCCAGCACTGGAGCTGACCCTTGGGGTCACGGAGCCTTCTTGCCTTAGAACTTATGTCCGTGTGCCGCGTGGTTTCTTCCGTGTTTCCTTAGTTATCAATAATACAGCCTGTCCCTTTAAACCCAGTTCATATCGCCGGCCTGGCCAGCTGGTGATAAAATTTGAGTCGGGATTGGCTCTTGGATCATATTATGAAATTACTGGTAAGGTTAACAGTTTTAATAATGGCACTATGATTGCATAGGAGAATTTTTAGGAAGAGTATGCTGAATTCTTAAAGATAAAACATTGTTCTGTTAGCAACTTACTTGCAAATAGTTCAGCAAAATGTATTTCTTAGCTAAGAAATTAGTAGCAGGCACACTATGGTGGTGAACAGACACTCTTCCCTAAGTATTAGAAGTGCTAATGGATAAGACCTGTAGAGGACACGATTTTACAGTGCCAAATGTGCAAATCCACATATCTTGGATAGCAAAAATTCCACCACTGGGAATTTATCTGACAAATATACTGGTTGGTATACATGTAAAATGATTCACATCCATCAGTAGGGAGATGGGCTGTGCATACAATAGAGTACACAGTACATACAATATAGTAGAATAGAAGGATAAAATGGCAGGTTAAAGGTAGTGATGGAAACATCTCTAACATCTAATACTAAGTGAAAAAAAACCCAATATACTAAGTAATACTGTATTATATTTTTGATTCAGGGAAAAGATATGTTTCTGTTTAAGTCAATCACAATGGCTTCCTGGGAGGAGAATTAAGTAGCTGGGGATTCGGGTGGGAGGGACACTTTTTCCTGATCATCCTTCTATACATTTAAAATTTTTTTTTAAGTTGTAGAAGGACACAGTACCTTGAATTTTTTTTACTTATTTTTATGTGGTGCTGGGGAGCCAACACAGTGCCTCACATGTGCTTGGCAAGTGCTCCACCACTGAGCCAGTTAGGCCTGGCTGGAGTGGTTGGGAGTATTCGATCATCAACACTCTTCAGAATGCTGGTGCAGACTGACTGTGAGAGCGTCTTATATTGGTTTAAGTTGCCAACAGGAATTACTCCCCACATATTGCCTGCACCCAGAGTAGACTGCTCCAATCACTATGCCTTCCGTATGCCACTATCCCTATGGAACCGTGGGTAAATGCCCTGAGCAGGAAATTCACACCCAGAGGAAGAGAGAGAGAAAGGAGAAAAAGAAAAGCCACATCAAAATATATTCAATTTACTTACTCCTCTTTGAAATGCAAATTAAAACATCTATGAAATGACATTTTCACACTGCAAAAAAAAAAAAACCACATTTTTTTTACTAGTCACATGCAATATTAGCAAGTGTATGAAAAAATAGGAAATGCAGGGCTTTTTGCATTTTCAGTGTTCATAGTCACTGAACTCATAATTCTATTTCTGAAAATTTATCTAAAGAAAGTAATCAGAGATGGGAATAAAAATATATTACTCACAATGGAAAAAATTTCAAAAGTAAATGCCCATGGTAATAAATTAAATTATGAAAGATCTCCATGGAGAAGCTGTAAGCAATCATTGAAATCATTGCAATCATTTATATGTTGCAAAATAATATTTATTGACTCAAAATGTGAATAAAGCAATTCAAATCAAGCATAGAGAAACCATTTTTTTATTGTGGTCAAATTTATGTAAATATAATGTACTACTCTAACCATTTTTAAGTGCACAGTTCATTGACATTAAGTATAGTCACATTGTTCTGCAACCATCACCACCATCTAGCCCCAGAACTGTACTAATCAGACAATAACACTCCATTTCCGCCCCCCACTTAACCCCTGGAATCTACCATTCCACTTTCTGTTCCTACCTATTTGACAGGGTACCTAATGTAAGTGGAATACAGAGTAGCTGTTATTTTACAACTGGCTTATTTTACAGGCATCCTGTCTTCAGGTTCCTCCATGTTGTAGCATGTGTCAGAATTCCCTCCTTTAAGAATTAATGGTGGGGGGCGGCTGGGGTTGTGGCTCAGCAGTAGAGCACTCGCCTAGCATGTGCCAGGTCCTGGGTTCGATCCTCAGCACCACATAAAAATAAATAAACAAAATAAATGTATTGTGAACAAATAAAAAAATAAATATTAAAAAAAATGGGGCTGGGGTTGTGGCTCAGTGGTAGAGAGCTTGCTAGCATGTGCAAGGTCCTGGGTTCGATCCTCAGCACCACATAAAAATACATAAATAAAATAAAGGTATTGTGTCCAACTATAACTAAAAAATTTTTTAAAAAGAATTAATCATGTGCCACACGAAGAGACAGCCTACAGAATGGGAGAAAATCTTTGCCACTTGCACTTCAGATAGAGCATTCATCTCCAGGATATATAAAAAACTCAAAAAGCTTAACACCAAAAACATAAAATAAATAACCCAATCAATAAATGGGCAAAGAAACTGAACATGCACTTCACAGAGGAAGAAATACAATCTGTCAACAAATATATGAAAAAAATGTTCAACTTCTCTAGCACTTAGAGAAATGCAAATTAAAACTACACTGAGGACTGGGGTTGTGGTAGAATGCTCACCTTGCATTTGCAAGGCACTGGGTTCAATCCTCAGCACCACATAAAAATAAATTAAGGTATCGTGTCCTTCTGCAACTAAAAAAAAAAAATTTTTTTTTTAAAGCTATACTGAGATTTCATTTCACTCCAGTCAGAATGGTAAGTTTCAAGAATACAAGTGTTTCAGTCAGCTTTTTTGTTGCTATGGCTAAATGACCCCACCAGCATAACTGTAGAGAAGGAAAAGTTTATTTGGGGGCTCACAATTTCAGAGGTCTAATCCAGAGGTGGCAGGCTCCATTCTTTGGGGCTTGAGGTGAGGCAGAACATTATGGCAGAAGAATGTGGTGCAGAGAAGCAGCTCACATGGTGATCAGGGAGCAGAGAGAGACTCCACTCTCCAGATACAAATATATACCCCAAAGCCACACCCCTAACGCCCACCTCCTCCAGCCACACCCCACCCACCAGTTAATCCCACTAGGGATTAACTCACTGATTAGGTTAAGGCTAGAATTCAATCATTTCTCCTCTAAATCTTCTTGCATTGCCTCACACATGAACTTTTGGGGGACACCTACGTCCAAACCATAACAATAAGAAACAATAAATGTTAGTGAGGATGTGGGGTAAAAGGTACGCTCTTACATTTCTTGTGGGACTTCAAACTTGTGCACTACTATGGAAAACAGTATGGAGATTCCACAGAAAACTTGGAATAGAACCATCATTTGACCCATTTATCCCACTCCTCAGTATACACCCAAAGGACTTAAAATCAGCATACTATAGTGACACTGCCATATCAATGTTTATAGCAGCTCAATTCACGATAGCTAAGCTATGAAACCAACCTAGGTGCCCTTCAACAGATGAATGGATAAAGGAAATGTGGTATATATATGTACACAGTGAAATATTACTTGAATGAAATTATGGCATTTTTCTAGTAAATGGATGAAACTGGAAATAATGCTAAGTGAAATAAGCCAATCCCAGAAAACC